CTGCTGGTTATTCCATCCACTCCTGCCTCAACCCCCACCCCAAACAATGCCACACCTTTCACTCAGACTTGGTCCCTCCTTTGCATTTGAAAAAAATATGTTGTAATAAATCTCGCTATGGATTGGTTTTGGTTTTTTAAAGCATATAGAAGCAGGAGTGGCTTTTCCATTTCCAAAACAGCTTGCTTCCCTATGAACTTGGAGAAATGATGAAAGTTATACAAGTGTTCAGGTCTTTCGTTCATAGGGTTTCTATGAGTCGCTTAAGACTGGACGACAATTAACGACGACAACATGGTATATAATAGATAATAAGGAACTCTGGTAGTGTGGTAGATTGAGCATTGGTCTGCCAACTGAAAGACTGGGATTCAAACCCACCAGTCACAGGAAAAAAGATGAGATGATCTTCTTCCAACAAAGATTTATAGCTTAGAAAAATCTATGGAGTAGAAATCAACTCGATGGCAATGAGTTAGTAGATAATAAATATTTGGTAAAGATAAAATGAATCTATCATTCATATACTCCAGGTGTGTACTCAAAACTAATATTTACAATTTTTAATCCTAGTGCAACTAAAATTTGGGCTTTGTTCTTTAGAATATGTTTGGCAAAAAAAGGAGAGATGAACAAAGAATTTATTCCCCTGTTGGACATGGGAGTGGGAGGGATACAATATTGTAAGTAGAATGAGTATTTTTTATATATAAGTATAAATATAAATAATATAAATAAATAGAAATAGAAATTATAAATATAATGGAACATTGCAAAGGTTAGATAGAGTACAGAATAGATAGGTGGAAGCCAATAAATGTAAGCTTCTGCTTTGCAGTTTTGGCTCAGACTTGGTGTTTCCAAGAGCCAAGAGAGGATGCCATAACCCCCTTGGTTTCATGGGATGGGCCTACCCTGCTCTTTCTGCAAGGTCTTACAGAAAACAATCTGCAAACAGATACAACTGGAAGGTCCTAACACTGCCTCCCTTTTGCCTTCTTCCTCCTCCCTTCTTTTACTCAAGATTTTTTTAAAAGCAAGGGTTTTTTTCCTTTGCCCTCAAATTCCCCCATCCCTGTCAAAAGGATGCCTATAAAGAACTCTTTAGCAATTCCTCTCAAAATCTGGAAGCACAAGAGGAAGGATCGAGGTCAACCTATATTATCCCCCATTTCCTATCAGCTAGAAGTACCCTTTGAGACTTGGAGGCAATGCTCTTCTCATTAGCCTCCCTGCGTCTTCTGGAATATCACCTGATTGATAGTCTTAAAACACCAGTTATATGAAATGTGCTGCTCCAGGGTGCTGGGAGTGCCACACTACCGGCTAAAAAGAAAACAAACATATTCAGAAAACAACAAAACACCTTCCCAGCTTGGCGGCAAGCCCATCCACATTTGGCTCCCATCTTTGATTCCAAAGACTACTTGCCTCCAATCTGTCTACAGTTAGATACTGGACTGAATCCTATTTCTTCTCTTAAGAAATATGTGACATTTAGCCAAGCTTCTAAGTCTCCATTTACTTCCCTCATCTCTAAGTGGAAGCAATGGTGGCAATTTTAGATCAGCTGTGAGGATTAGAGGATAATGTGTTTAAAAATTCTTATAAAACTGGATGTCCTACATAACTCTCAGGTATTTTCTAACACATATATAACCCATTCATGTCCTAGAGCTTTGAATCACATTCTCCTTTTTTTAACTAAACCTGCAGGAGCAGACCTCAGATCTTAATTCTCCATAACACTCCACTGACCGCACCAGCCCGGGAAGTTGTATTCTTCTCTGAATGCTCCATTTCCTGGATTTTCTCCCCCCCACCTTTAGTGCTTAGCATGATCTGTTTTGTAACAGAAGGATTAGGAAAAGAACAACTGAGTGCCTAGTAACAGCTGGGTTCTTTGTATTTTACTTAATTTAAACTTATTAAAAGCCCTGTGAAATAGGTATTATCAATTTCTTTGTTAAGAATGGGCAAACTTGAAGAAGAGAACTTACCAGGTAATGAATAATGGCAGAAGTAAAATTTGAATCCAAATCTACCTCAATCCGGAGTCAATGTACTTTGCCCATTATGCTGAGTGACAAATATGATTCCAGAGTGAGACATAAATGATACTTTCCCTCATAAGGAAGCACATCTTTACTGCATCCATATAGCCTAATTTTTATATTCAACAACAAATGCTCACAGAATTGTGGTACCCTGTAATAAAATTACTAACATCTACTGTCTTTGGGTACTGCTATAGATGCTTTTCATACATTCATTAATTTCATTACCACAACAATAGATAATAAACTACTATCTCCATATAACAAAGCCCAAGGAGGTACAGTTGTTAAGTGACAAGCTTGAAAATAAAATGCAGCAAATCTGTCACCAAAATTATAGTTCTTGAAAACTGCAGGATACCACAGAACTGGCTTCCAGAATACAGAAGTATCCATTAAGCTGAGGGTTTAGGAAATAGCCAATTAAATCCAAAACTTTTAAAAAAGTAATAGGAGCTTTCCTACTTCTAATTGAAAAATTGTTATAAACCAAACTTTTTGCCACAAAAAACTAGAAAATCTGGTTAAAATAAAAATAATTTCTCTGTAAAACTGTCAGAGACATAACAAGGCACTGAGGAATTGGGGATCTAGATGATCCAGAGAAGGAAAGCGCAGAGAAAGTAAATCCAACATTCAATTTTCTTGAAACACAGTTCCCAGGTCAAAAGAAAGCAAGAAAGTAGAGGCAAAAGAGCACAGAATAGATGAAACAAATAGAAAAGAGCACAGAGGGAAGATTTTAGTCTAAATATATAATTACATGTTCAATCATCATTAACACACTAGATCTATTATCCAAGGAAATGAAAACACTATTATATTCTCACAAGGGAACTCTAGTGGTTTAGTGTTAAAGGAGTTGCCCTGCCAACCTGACTACACACTGTTCAAATCCTCCATCTATTCTGTGGGAGAAAGACAGGCAGTCTTCCATGCGATTTACAGCCTCTGAAAGCCCTCTGGAGGGACAGCTTTGAGTTGGTCTTGACAGTACAACATATTCTCATAAGATATATTTATTATAATATAAATATAACTTAAACAGAGGTATACTAATCGTGGGCAAAGTTCACATTAAATTAAGAACCATTATGAATTAAAAAAGGGGAGAACATAATGAAAAGATTTATCAACCTTAAAGATATTTGCCCTACAACCAGGAGAGAACAAAATAGATGAATGGGATCTTCTAAGAATCAAATCCCTATGCACGTCAAAAAAAAACACCAACAGGGTAAAAAAGAAAGCCACAGACTAGGAAAAAAGCATTTGGTAATGACAAACCTGATAAGGAACTCATATCTAAACTGTATAGATTGCTCCAACACCTCAACAAGAAAAAAGTAAACAACCCAATCTCAAAATGAGCACATGAACAGATACCTCACCAAAGACGACATTCAGAGGGCAAACACACACATGAAGAAATAGTCAAAATCTCTAGCTATCAGAGAGATGCAAATAAAAACAACTTATCTGATATCATCTCATCCCACTAAAAATAGCAAAATTCAACAGATCAGCAAACAATAAATGCTGGTGGGGTTATGAAGAGGTTGGAAACCTTATTCACTGCTGGTGGGAGTGAAAAATGGTGCAACCACTATGGTAAGCAGTTTGGAACGTTCTAAAAAAGCTGGAAAGAGAAATACCATTTGAACCAGCAATGTGACTACTGGGAATATACCCTAAAGAAACCAAGAACCACCATCCAAACAGATATATGCACACCTATGTTTAATGCTGTATTATTTACAACAGCAAAGAGACAGAAGCAACCCAAGTGTCCACAACAGTAAATGGATAGAAAAACGATGGAATATTCATACAATGGACTACTTACTGTGCAGCACTGAAAAATAATGAACTTGTAAAGCACTACACAACATGGGTGTCCCTGGAGCACATGATGATGAGTGAAATATCTCAGTCACCAAATGTCAAGTACTGCATAGCACTACTGTTATAAAGCAGGTCTGATGTGGGGAGTTGGAAGGAGAATAGGATAAGAGTGGATAGATTATGACCATAGCATTGGAACAGATGAAAGAAAGCATGCCAAAATGAATATATGAAATTTTACAACTCCCCCTCCCTCTACACAATTTGATGGTGGTGAGGGTGAGGGAAATTGGAAGAATCTGTTCATGAAATGTATTCAAATTTTGTAAGTAAACTAGTGTATAAAATAAAAAGTCGGCACTGCCCGAGATCCAAGATGGCGGCGGAGGCAGAGACAGCGTGGTGAGCTGCAAGAGCAGCGAACCACTTAAAGCAGGGTGATTATGGCCTTCCACAGACTTCGGCTTATTGATAATTGAACACTTAAAGTTGATGACTGGCCCTCAGTGAAGATCGAGGCTCAACAACAGGAATTCAAGGATTCCCAAGGAGAAATGGGTGAGTCTCGTGGCTCCCAACGCCTCCCTGCAGAGCCTGCGCCTTGCCGCACAGCCGCTGCAGCTCCATGAGGCTTCCACAACCAGAACAAATGGATTCCCTCACTGAGGATGGATGATGGGCACTGGCCCTCCTCAAGACTGGTACAGCAAAGACACCACACTGCCGCAAGGTGGACTTGTTGTAGAGAGAATTCTTGGAGCCAGGATGGCAGCTGCGGTGGAAGCGG